CCCCCCCCCCTCACACCTCTCTATCTTGGTGTCTTTCAGCCTGCGAGTGAAGATGTGATGAATCCGAGCGACACCGTGTCCATGGACCCACAGCTGGAGCGGCAAGTGGAGACCATCCGCAACCTGGTGGACTCATACATCGGCATCGTTAACAAGTCCATCAGAGACCTCATGCCCAAGACCATCATGCACCTCATGATCAACAGTGTACGTGTTCTGCTTTATCTCTTTTCCCATTAGTCATATTCAACATCTAGACAGGTATGAGAAATTGAAGTCATTTATCATTCTTGCAGTATTAAAGTATTTTTTGGTGTCCGATCTCCAGGCGAAGGACTTCATCCACTCCGAGCTGCTGGCCTACCTGTACTCGGCCGGGGACCAGGGCAGTATGATGGAGGAGTCCCCGGAGCAGGCCCAGAGGAGAGACGAGATGCTGAGGATGTACCACGCTCTGAAAGAGGCCCTCGTCCTCATAGGAGACATCAGCACCACTACCATTTCTGTCCCAGTGCCTCCACCTGTAGACGACAAATGGATTGCCAAGGACCCAAGGTAACACATATTTACAATCTAGATTTAAGCTGACCAATATATATTTTGGCCACCAGAGGCCACTGACGTGTTTCTCTACTGTACTGTACCATGTTCAAGATGTAAATTGGAACAGGATGCATTCCTAGTCATAGTTAAAAAAAGAAGAAGAAATCCAATATCGCTGTTTATGTTAAACAACAATCCCCAAGGGCTTAAACATTTCTAGAATCATTCTATAGAGGGAAAGCAGGATAATATGTCGCACTCATTATCATGCAGTCAACAGCTAGTAGACGCTCCACTCACACTTCCAAATAGCTTCAGTGTATTGCCACCTGGTGCAAATGAATAAAATAATATAAACTATAAAATCCACTTTAATAAATGTACTTGTATTTAATCATATAATCTTGAGTATAATCATTATGTTTGCGTATTCTGCTAATACAAATATGCATATAATATCTTTATGAATACATGTAGAGTGCATTACATCAACATAATCTCAAAAAAGATTTTTGACATTTGTAAATGTAACATCCTTGTCTCTCTGTGTCTCAGTCCTCCACCTGCGTCCCGCCCTGCCGCAGCAACAGCGCCCCCTCCCAGCAGACCCCCTGCAGTAAGGGGCCCCACCCCAGGCCCTCCGCCCCCTCTCAACCCCTCCCCAGCATTCGGGGGACCGCCCGTGCCGACTCGCCCACCGGGACAAACGGCCTACGCCGGGGATCCCAACTCTGGATCTGTGCCTCTAGTTCCTTCCAGGCCGGCCCGCGTGCCTCCCGCTCTGCCGCCAGGGATTCCCAGGTAAAATCGTTCACACACACACACACACACACACACACACACACACACACACACACACACACACACACACACACATTCTGACTATTGCGGCTTTGGTTTTGGTGGAAGTGGCTGGGGCTGCTGGTGAAGGGTTGTACTGTATGTTCTGGCTTTTTGGTGTTTTGGGAATCTTTGCTGCATGGTTATCTGATGATATTTTTCCTTGCATGTGTCCCCCTCCCCCCTCTTTCCCCCAAACCTCTCCTCCTCTCTCTTCCTGCAGCAGAAGACCCCCGGGTGCTCCCATCCGACCCACTGTCATACGTCCTTCAGAGCCCTCCCTGCTTGACTAGAAACACATGCACACAATTCTTGTTTACACGTTTATATTTCTGTAGAGCAGAGTCATCTTTTATTTCCCATGTGTATTCCTATAACTACACACCTACAGTAACCTGTCATCTGATGCTGTTTCAGTCTGTGCATTTCAGAAACATTATGTATGTACTTTAACTAAATGTGTAGGTAGAGGGTTTTTTTAAACAAAGAATATGATGACATTTCTGCATTATGTGTTATGAAAAGGGATACATGTGATGATTTTATTGACTTAAAGGCTACAAACCAGCAAGTCCTCTTGAATTTTTTGATTGTTTCATTTGAAATGTGTCTTTAAAACAATATATATGACTCATAACTTTGATATAATGGTAAAAAAACGATTTTAGAAGTCATCTTTTGTGAGCTGTATACTTGCTAACGTTTTGTCAGTAATCTGACACACTAAGCACCTCGTTAAGAAAGCAGCACTTTTCCATCAAGTCTCTTTTCTCTTCCTTGATGGTGTATTTTCAAAGCCTTAAATTGAGCATAGTAAAATTAGACTCACTAATGGAATTTGTATTTTGGCGTCATTACAATATTTTTCAAGGATACATTAATTACGTTTTTTTGGGTTTCTCTTTTGTGGAACAATTGAAAAGTGACAGATACCTACCACCACTGCTCTCATTGTAGGTGATATTTGAATCAAGTGCCTTGAGCAAAATACAAATGACTCACTTATCACTTTTAAAAAGCCCAATAAAAGATAATCATCCAAGAGAAAGGGCCTGTCCGTCTGTCAGCAGGTGTATACAGAGATGTATTGAATAAAGGAATATAAGGTGTCGTGGCTGGTGCGTGTTACTGTTGTGTGTTTTCTTGAATTCTCATGCATCACCAGGCTCCTGTTTGTTTTGACAGTAAACATGTGGTGCGTCGTGTACTTCCTGTCACTGAGTGAGGCGATCAGCCTGCAGTTCAGAGAGTGTGTGTGATAGTCAATGCAGAGCACAAACTTTTCTGTGTGCAGCCTGGCATGAGCTCACTTCCTTTCTACCCTACTGTATGATGGAGCCGTGGGTTACCATGGTGACTGTGGTTGCCAGTGGCAACACACGGTAAAGACAGTGTTGCTCGTTGCTTTTGGGCAGGAATGAATACAAGGTATGCAATCCTTCGCCTGCTTTCAGAGATATCTTTCTTCTCCCATGCTTCTGTCAGCTGTCAGTGATCCGCTCATGACCTGAAACTGATCATAACATCTGCTCATGGTTTTCTCTCACAGGCGACCTCCACAAGTCCCCTCTCGTCCAAACCACTGGTGAAGGATCTCAGATGTCCTGCACTCCGACTTGTAGCCACCCAGCGTCTGACTTTATAACCTCCTATGTCCACATTCTGGAACTGGATGTATAGTTTTTGTAAATATTTGTAAGGATTGAAATGATGCAGAATCATTTGTGTTGAGCTCGCCTCAGCTCACAACATAGCGTATAACCTCTGAACAGACAGGCGTGTTATGAAGCTGGCACTTAGCGTTTATTATGTCTGTTTCCTCTCAGTAAGTGCTGTTGAAATACTTGATATTTCTCTGACTTGATCAATTGGAGTATAAAAATTCCTTGGAAAAGGAAAAAAAATGTGTTTGACAAATTCAAGAAACAATCTTGAAACAAACCTGGCATAAGTCCACAAAATTATATTCCAACAAGGTTATTTAAACTCCTGCTACATCTTTTGTTCTCATATGGCCAGATACTGTATAATTCAAATGTGTTAATGCCCACTATGATCTATAAATACGACTCTTCTCTGGCCGCCACATTTGTCAATGTGTGATTAAAGTAGAAGTAACTTTGGGAATGTCATCATTTTAACCCATCCAGTGTTTCAGATATTACTCACTGAAAAATGCCGTTAATTAACCTTATACCAACTTTAAGTTAATGTCAGGGGCGTTTTTGTTTAAAGTTTCAAGGTCAGACGTTAGGGGGAGCTACATCAGCAGAAAATAAGTGCTTCTTTGCCGTTTTGGTCTCAAGTGGCTCAAAGGGAAAACACTACAAACGACAAGCAGTGATGTTTAATAGACTATTTTGTATCAAATATCCCAAATGACCAGTAAATATGGTGCTGTATGCTGTCATTAGATCATGATATGAGCACTAAGGTCTCATGATGTACCTTCACAATATGCAATTCCTAACGGAACACATTTTTAAAAATTACTCTGTTACTATTTTATTTATTTATCAAAGACAACTCACAACAAACCATGTATTTCCTGTGTAAAAAATGCATTTATTGATATCAATAATCCCCATGTAAACCTGAATTGTACTTATTCTATTGAAATGTGTATTAAAAGCTTGTTCTTATAAAAAAAAAACACAGCGGCTGTCTGAGCAGAATCGAAACGTCACATTCTGTTGACACAAACATACATCTCAGAAAAGGAAAGTTGGATAGTCTAGAAAAGCAAACAGAGACACACATCTACCATTCAGTTTGTTGATAATCCTGATACATGTCTGAACCAACATAAAAACATACCTATTACATATTCATCTGGAAGCGTACTGACACATTGTACATTATTGGCAATCACGCTTAAAATCATCTATGCATGGACTCGAGCTGTAAAAAAAGAAGTCAGTAACATCTCTATCAAAACGGCTGTAACCAAGGAAACACCTTGTCAGACGGACATATCTCTAAAATAAAGGAGAGATCGTAAACTGCCAGGAAGATCAAATACACCAACAACACTATTGCACATTGTTATCCCTTGTAAACCAGCAGACCAAGAGCTCTGTTGATCACTTGTAGAGTCGTGTAATTTAACATACCTTTAACCTTAAGCAAGGATTATCACCTTTAAAAAAAGATTCCAAAAACCTTTAACCAGTTTCAGAAGCATAGGACAGCATGCACCACTGACAGCTGTGTACTGTGCCTTTTAAAATGTATTTCCTCATTGGTTTGTGGAATCATTTGACATTAAAGGCACTGCATTAAATTAAAACAATCAACTTCCTCCTCTGGTTAACCTTCATGATCTGATAACATTGAATTATTGCTCAAAAACTGATATAAAAACAAGATTTGTATCGATGTTGAATGCGGCTCTTCATGTAGACCAAAAGAAATACAGTATATTGGACAGTCTGAACGTCTTGTATTGGATTGTTCTCTTTCATAGGACTCCTTTCATCACTTCAAAAGAATCCCTCTATGAGCATACCCTCCGCTTATCGTCGAACAGTTTACGGACGGTGTAGACCTGGAAGTGGAGAGAATATATTGTTTAGATCCGATGCCAACTGAGAGACGATTCAAAGATGAATGTGATGTGGAGGTGTACAGAGACACTGATGTGCATCTGTTCAATTAACACAAGTATCCGTATTCGATAAAGACCAGACGTGTTTTATGGATATGTTAAAACTAGCAACTGTTGTATTTTCCAACCTTATATTCATTGTGCATTGTTTCTAATTTAGAGAATAACATTTATTTTATATTGACATCCTTATACAGGACTGTCTCAGAAAATTAGAATATTGTGATAAAGTTCTTTATTTTCTGTAATGCAATTAAAAACACAAAAATGTCATACATTCTGGATTCATTACAAATCAACTGAAATATTGCAAGCCTTTTATTATTTTAATATTGCTGATTATGGCATACAGCTTAAGAAAACTCAAATATCCTATCTCTAAATATTAGAATATCATGAAAAAGTATACTAGTAGGGTGTTCAACGAATCACTTGAATCGTCTAATTAACTCGAAACACCTGCAAGGGTTTCCTGAGCCTTGAAAAACACTCAGCTTGGTTCAGTAAACTAAATCACAAGTATGGGGAAGACTGCTGATCTGACTGCTGTCCAGAGGTCCGTCATTGACACCCTCCATCAGGAGGGTAAGACACAAAAAGAAATTTCTCAAAGAGCAAGCTGTTCACAGAGTGCAGTTTCAAAGCACATCCACAAAAAGTCTGTTGGAAGGGGGAAATGGGGCAGGAAACGCTGCACAACCAAGAGAGATGACCGCAGCCTTAACAGCATTGTGAAGAAGAGTCGCTTCCAGAATTTGGGGGAGCTTCAAAGACAGTGGACTGAAGCTGGAGTCCAGGTATCAAAAGTCACTGTTCACAGACGTGTCCGGGAAATGGGCTACAATAGCCGTATTCCCATGGTCAAGCCACTTCTGAACTCAAGACAACGGAAGAGGCGTCTGACTTGGGCTAAGGAAAAGAAGCACTGGACAGTTGCACAGTGGTCCAAAGTCCTCTTTTCAGACGAAAGCAAGTTTTGTATTTCATTTGGAAGTCAAGGCGCCAGAGTCTGGAGAAAGGCTGGAGAGGAGCAAAATCCAAGTTGCTTGAAATCCAGTGTGAAGTTCCCACAGTCAGCGATGGTTTGGGGAGCCATGTCAGCTGCTGGTGTTGGTCCACTGTGTTTCATCAAGCCCAGAGTAAATGCAGCTGTGTACCAAGAGATTTTAGAGCACTACATGCTTCCGTCTGCTGAAAAGCTCTATGGAGATGAGGAATTCATTTTCCAGCATGATCTGGCACCTGCCCACAGTGCCAAAACCACCAGTAACTGGTGTACTGACCATGGCATTACTGTCCTCGATTGGCCTGCAAATTCCCCTGACCTGAACCCCATAGAGAATATGTGGGGTATTGTGAAGAAGAAGCTGAAAGACACCAGACCCAACAATGCTAATGAGCTAAAGGCCGCTATTGAAGCATCCTGGGCATCCATAACACCTCAGCAATGCCACAGGCTGATTGCCTCCATGCCACGCCGCATTGATGCAGTAATCCGTGCAAAAGGATTCCCAACCAAGTACTGAGTGCATTAATGGACATTTTCAAATGTTTGATTGTGTTTTGCTGTTATAAATCTTTTTTTTTTACTTGGTCTGAGGAACTATTCTAATTTTTTGAGATAGGATTTTTGAGTTTTCTTAAGCTGTATGCCATAATCAGCAATATTAAAATAATAAAAGGCTTGCAATATTTCAGTTGATTTGTAATGAATCCAGAATGTATGACATTTTTGACATTTTTGTCACAATATTCTAATTTTCTGAGACAGTCCTGTATATGAAATACATTCCAACACCCTAATAATCTTTTATTTATTCATTGTTTTATCAGGAAACTGAATTTCCCATTAAACCTATAGCTGTAGAACAATTTAAAGAAGAAGAATATATAAATATAAGAAATATTTGAATTTTTAGAATTGGTTTTATAAAATTGAGGAGATGAACACATACAGCTAAAAGCTACAGATTGTAAGCTACATTTTGCTGCAGCCGTCAGACTGCTGGCTGCTGAACAGGAAGTTTGATCTTGTCTTGCCACAATGGCACGTGTAGATCTGAAGAAAAAGCTGATGCACAGACATCGTAATCATGTTTTTATCTTCCCCTAAACTAACAATATCAGGTAGAAGACAATCATTTATTTCGTTTTCCAGATGCGGCTACATCCCCAGTAGTTTATCAGCCCTCCATTTACCTGGGTAAGTGCCACACACAGCATCACCAGCACACTGGCGCAGGACCAGAAGGAGACCCTCCACAGGTTGTCCTCCAGGAGGTTTCGGTCCCGTGCCTCGAAAGCCCGCAACACCGTCTGCATCTGCCGGCTGCGCTCCAAGCGTTTGTGCAGAGAGTCCATGGACTCCTGGGGACATTTGGAGATAGGTTTTAGCGGTTTTAAAAAAGCAGTTGCTCCCATGAGGTATCAGAGACAGAGAACATTTGAAATTTTAAAAAGTACACAGAATTTTGTATTATTGTTGACTCATTCTAAGTGGTAAACGTGGCTGTTAATGGTTAATCATAAACCTTTGACAGACATGTTTGTGGTTGGGGCCTACCGTTCAGCCTGTCACCTGGCGAGTCACATTATTGGGTCATGTAACCATCACTGTGTCGCTCGCAGAGTAGCTAATGTTTCCAGCATTGTTGGGAGTCACAGGTTGAAGCTGACGTTATTCTATATTTTCCATGTTGTCAGCAGATTTACGATAAACCAAATGTTTCAACACTTTCCCACTTCCCCAGGCCGTCTGTGTTGCTCAGCCACAAGCTCAATTCGTTCCTTACTGAAGACGAAACGGAGAAAACTGACCAGAAATGTGTTGTTTTCAAATAGAAGAGGCTAAACCATTTAATTGAAAAGCTGGTCGCTGTGTTTATAAGTTAACAATACCAAAACCAGGTTAAAAGGTGCATTTGGACGATGGCCCTTTTACCCAGGGAAACAGTGTGGTTTACGTATGTCCTTTTGTGGCCATACATGTAACTGATCCAGTTGAGTGTTAGTTTTGATCTTTTTGACAATAATATATAATAATAATAATAGCCTTTTATTTTGAAAAGCCAATAGATATCTAGTCTTTTTTGGAGACAAGTACAACAGGAGCAATGGGATAGATCTTAACCTGAGGGAAGTTTTCCTACTATTTATATCCTGCTTATATTGTGTATTTTGTATTCACAGAAAATTGGCCCTTCAATAGTGTTTTTATTTGGCAGACAGTTTATAGATTTTTTTATCTTCACGGTCATCTGTATATCTTTCTGACTCTCTAATGCTGGTTTATTTCTATTTTGAGATGTTTCTATTTTTAAATTGTTTATTTCTACTCTTATAATTTGTTATTATGTGCAGTGCCTTGTTTTGTTGTATGCTGCTGCAACAAAAACAAATTCCCAAATTGGGATTAATAAAGTACATTTTATCTGAGCTTATTTTATCTTTATTAAAATGTGAAAAATCTGACCTCGGTTCAACCAAATGGTTACTATACTCTCCTCTTATTCCCTGGACAGCTGAGGTTTATCTCAGGTCCAACTATATACCCTTTTCTGAATGCACTTCTAAAACATCTCACCCTGATGTCATCCAGCTTGTACTCCAGGAGACTTCCATCAGGCTCCTCCAGCCCCGGCCACTCTTCATCTCCAGTCACATCTCCTGCTTGACCCTCGATGATGATCTCAAAGAACACCATCTTCTCTGAGAAGTGACTGAAGCTGTTGTCAAAACAGATTTCGTAGTCTCCCTCCACCGTTGGCTCCACCCTGGAATACCAGGACACAAAGTCAAATGTTAAACAGACAGATCAGATGCCAGGGAAATAATCATTTTTATAAGATCAAGAATTCAGGCCGATGTGAGGCAGCACTCACACGTGGACTCCGTCGGAGCGTCGAGACTCGAAGATGAGATGGACACCTTCTGGAGAGATGATGGTGAAGTCGACATCCATACCCGCACCTGATATTACCTGCATGTGCACACACCAATACATACACACTCAGTAATAAGCTTGGTGTACAGCTGTCATGACACACAGCTAGTGGCAGAAACAAGGCGTACCAGGCCAACAGGATGCTAAAACAAACATTTCCAGGAGAGATTAGGCGTGCCTTTCAAGAGAGCGTATTGTTGCCTCTTAGATTGGGGCTCTCCCACTAAACACACTGACTAATGGGACTTTACATTATAAGACATGTTGCTGTGTACATATTCTTTTTTTTAAGTGACCTTGGACAGCAGTATAGCTGCAATATTTAGAGGAAGTGTCAATTAGTAAGGTGATATAGTAAATATGCAACACATTGTAAAAAACGATTATTTTGTATGCAAAAAAGCCAAAAAATGCTGTTTCAGACTCAAATATTTAGATTTTCTGTTTTTTCAATTTAATATCATAATAATCTGTATGTCTTCTGGGTTTAGACAAACAAAGGGGATATGTAAAGACATCCCTTTTGATTTCTAAGAACTTGAATGGACATTGTGTACGCAGCATTAGACTGGAGTAGAGCTGCAAGTAACACTTACTGTCATTGTTCGTTAATCTGTCTAGTATGTTCTTGATTATAATGAATTATTCACATTTGAGAAGCTAGAATCAGATCATTTTTTGTTTATTTAAAAAAAAAAAACAGTTCATCTTTGCAGCTCAAGACAGGAGAGTTCATCATGAACACTTCAGCTGCTCATAAATGATTAACTTTGACAATGGGGCATACTGTAAATCAACACTTTGAAATGACTTGCATAAGATTGTGCTGTTGAACTTTGGATTGCTAAAACTATTGCCTGTTTAACAAAATCAATTTAATGTGATTCTATGTTGTTGTTTCTTAGCCGCTCTTTTCACACAAACTTCCTGTTTCTGGTTCCCTGGGCCAGGAGCTCCTACAGGATCAACCTGCTGGAGGATCAGAGGACACCAGGATCTGAAGCTGTATCACATACGTGTACAGTTTATCATTAACACAGTGACTCATTCAGATTTACTACGAGCAATGTGTGAAGGCTTCAAATATATAATCTCATTTCCTGTGTAGTTATCACTGATCATTTTTAAGTAAAGCCTTTATGGTTGTCTCTTTCAGGAAGTATTTTTTATTGCAATCTTGCACAAAAGGTGCTAGATTCATGAAGTGTGATTTGACCTGAAGGCTTTACTTTTTTCAGGAAATGATTTAGCTACAGTACAGCAGTTGTAAAATGTGTCACGTTAACTTCATAGAGATTAATATAAGCAAACATTAGCGTGCAGCACCAGTGTTATGCTGGTTTATAGAAAATATGCAAATACAGTAGCAGCATGTCAGCTAGCTAAAGGAATGAGTAACGGTTAGCCTTCCATCTGGTGTTCCTCTGAGGCTGCTATTAGCATTTTAGCTTTTCAAAGGGGGCATGTAAATGTAAACACACTGAGTGCTGGTATGTCTGCTGGCCAAACACACACACAGTTACCTGATATTCGACCTCCATCGTCCCATTCTTTATTGCTGTCTGAAAGAAACACTCGGACTTTCCGGCTTGCAGCAGAAACGTCAACTCGCTGTCTAGGTTTTGTCCGAAACAGCTCACAGACCCTAAACACCACCCAAACACTACTGCGAGCAGTACTCGTCCTCTGCTGCCCTCTTTCCTCCGAAGAAGGTCCATGGTGAAGATAATCTCAAACACAGGGCTATCTAAATTCAGCCATCTCCTTCGCATCCCTCTTCCGCAGCAGAACTTTGCAATGTCCTGATTGGACGGAGGCCACAGGACGAGGACCGTGCAGACGACCAATCAGTGGGCGAAGAGTAGCAATCTTCCTCCAATCAGTGGACGAAGAGTAGCAATCTTCCTCCAATCAGTGCAGGGCTGAGGTTTTCACTCAGAGCTACTGTCTGACCCACTGCTGTCAAACCGTACCATGCTCCAGCACGGTGCCACTTTAATAAAAGCCTAATAATGGCTGCATTTAACCCTCCTATTGTCTTCGTTTCCCCCCCCTTACTTTGGTGTTCGTGGTCAAATTTGACCGGTCCTGTTTTAACTGCTATTACATTAACACAAACACCATTAATCATCACCAAATTTAATTTAACACCCTTTCAAACTGTAAATATTGTATCAGACTACTGGTATACATGAAAAACTGCAGTAAATATACAAAGAATAGACACTGAACATGTATTGCGTGTGCCAGGTGTGAACCATGTGGGGGGATAGGCAGGCACATAAGAGCGGGAAATGTGTCAAATTGTTATGTGTGCGACTGTGCGTGTGTGTTTGTGAGTGCCAGGTCACGTGTGATTGACATGGGGGGATTGGGCACATAAGGGGGGAGGACACATCTAGAGTGTGTGTGTGTGTGTGTGTGTGTGTGTGTGTGTGTGTGTGTGTGTGTGTGTGTGTGTGTGTGTGTGTGTGTGTGTGTGTGTGTGTGTGTGTGTGTGTGTGTGGGTGGGTGGGTTTTATCTGATCCGGATGGTTACTAATTCCTTTTCTTTATGGCGGTCATGACCGGGAATCTGATCTGGATGGTTACTAATTCCTTTTTCTTTATGGCGGTAATTTTTGACCGGGAACACCAGTGTTACAAAGTTGACTAAATCATCCAAAATTCAATGAAAGTGGTGATCAGCAATTTTATATGTTCAAATGTCTACTGTGAAGGATATCATAAAGCCTTAATGCAGCCGATTGTAAAACAAAGAAGCTATGAAAGTAGTAAATCGGTCAGATTTGACCCGAAGACAACAGGAGGGTTAGTTAAAGATGAATTAACTTACTTAAATAATTGTCAGATAAGTTGCAACTTTTGTTTAGCAAGGTTGTAAGAAAAACCTTTGTCTGCTGCAAACAAAGGCTGGAGATTCACTGTACAAAAATAATGAAAATAGTTGGATAAACTGGAGGGTGAACTTTCTATAGTGTTTGTCTATTAAGTGACATCATTGACATTTTCTATTATACAACAGATATATATATATAAATCTCCCTTAAAGAACACAATGTTTCTGCACCCATTTATATGATTTTTAACTGCAGTTTTGAAAAGAGTGCTGTCAGAACTGAAAAGTTTATGAATGTATTTTTAGTACGTGATTACACGATAGCTTTCAATACACAGGAATTTTTTATTGTGGTTAGTGTGACATGATTGACTTCATGAATCACACGTCATAGTACCGTTCTGTATAATGCATTGCATAGTGATGAAGACGTGTGTCATTTGTTCAGTCGGGTAAACTGCCTTTATCATCTTTATTGTTAGTGAAAATGAGAAATTAAAGATCTTCTCATATCATTTAGGTTCCCTATTTTTGACCTATGCGACCATTGTTTTCCCCAAGTTATGTGGGAAGTCTCTTCCTTGCTGACTCATTCACAGTTACCTATATACTAATCACTCACAATAACTTTTTCACATTAGACATTTTAACTTCTTGTTGAAGGAAAAGAAAAGCTCTTAATTATAACAATTATCTCTGTTTCATTGAAGTGTCCAAGTAAGCCATGACAGTAAAGCAGCTAACTGTTATACAGGGCAAAAATACAAAAATATACTAAATAAAGTAAAAGTAATACGAATATTTTGTTTTGTTTTTCATTTGTATTTACTATTTTATATTCAGTTTAAACAATCAGTTACAGACAAATACTTCTGGGGTTTCACTCATGTCCAGTCCATTCTTCCTTCCTCTCTATAACTGCAAATTCACAGCAGTCCACCACAAATGGAGACTTCCGCCTGTCCTCCCAACACTTTATCATCACTGAACACAGTGTCTGCATGTGTCTGCGTGTGTGCGTGTGTGCGTGTGCGTGTGCGTGTGCATGTGTGTGTGTGTGTGTGCGGGGGTTGTGGCTTGGTAACATTTATGTAGTGTGGTTTCAACACGTTGAGTTTGTCAAGTCAAATAACCCCCTCCCACGACAATGGACAAAATAGATTGAATTTCACACTGAACAAGCCGTGAATTATCCCCTTCAAACCTCTTTAACATAATTGACACAGCATTTAAACAACAAATAAATAAAATATATCAGTATTCTCATACAGCACGTACGAAGGAGATGTTTGATAAAGTGAGGGAAAAGAAAGTATGCTCTACATGTTTTAGAGGTATGTAAAGGAAATGACGGAATAAGCGGAAGAACACAAATAAAATTTAACTAAAGCTGATTGCCCACACATTACTCAGCTGTCCACATGCATGCACAATAATGATATAAAAGAGTCTCAGGGAAGGGAGGAGAGCACAAGAATAACAAGTTTAGATCTCCTGAAAAAAACATGAAAAATAAAGTGTTACCACATGGGTCTTGCACACTTTTAGAAATAAGGATTCCAAAAGGGAACTTCGTAAAGGGCTGAGGTTCTACACAGAACCATTTTTTACTGAATAATCTTATTTTCAAGGGTTCTTTGTAAGAAAAGTGATATTTCTAAATTAACTTACTATCCTAACCCTGACTAGTACATGTGCAGTGTGTGCATTTCAGCTGTGTAGCTTTGTCTCAAATCCATGGCGGCTGCTGAGTGATAATCACCACTGCTGACAATGATGTTAACGAGAGATAACTATGCTAGCTAGCTATCTCATAACATTATTGGTAGCGGTAGCAAATCATTATAGACTGTGCTCTATTAACCTAACAAATATAAACACGAGAAACATTTACTTGCGTAGTGGTGTGTGTTGACCTGAACAACTGCAATCTTAGCTTGTCCTGAACGTAGTTTTGTTGTGAAGACCACCTTAACCGAGACCAAGTCATTGCTAAGACCGGAGTGCACACATGCACTGGCACACTCACACACACTCAGACTGAATAACAAACACTTTAGTGTACATATGCAAATATGCACTCTACTACTCACCAATAACCCGTGTCTGTATCAGCCGTGCACACATAAATTTCAATCTTCAATCTTCAATCTTTTTTCGAAGCATGGTTGTTAAAAGATCCTCCCAACCGACCCCCTAAAACTGAAACATGAGTTGTATGTTATGTTGGGCCCCATGGTAGCAATGGCTGCATGCTAACATGTTACAGTGAGATCCACGTAATAGTTAAGAGTTACTTTTATTTGTGGTTCTTCATTCACCCCCAGAAGACATAAAGGTGATAAGTGAAGGATATTTTTATAGCCCCTGAGTTGGTTTCTAGACAAAACCCTTGGAATATAAAAGGGTTCCCTGAAGAACCCAATGGTTGGGTACTTGTGAAGACCCTTCGGGGGAAAGGCACCTGATTGAATCCCCAGTGAAACCTGTTTATGTTGGTTTCTAGGAAGGTAGAACACTCTGAAAGGCTTCCTGTTGACACCTTTATCAAAGTTCAGCCAAAAAAGCCTTATATGGTAATAGTTATCACATCTTATTGATGAGTGTATATCAAAATCCTATGCATGTCCTCTGTACATCATAAATCATCTTTAATCACCAGTTGCCAACAACAATAAAACAAACATTTGCTCAAAGACTGAGAAGTTTGAAAAAGCAAATAAGTGAGAAAGCATTAAACTGGCAGTCATGCAGGAGGCTTTGTAAACGTCAGCTCATTGTATGGTGAGCTTCAAAGCACAGATACATTAGGCTGTGGGTGAGAAAAACTGTGGTAGCAGCAGTGGGTATAGCGGTCAAAGTACAGATGTGAAATTAGAAACTTTACTCCTCTGAGCTCAGCCTCCACATCAAACTCTGCTGTTTTAAAGTCAACTGATCAACTGTACCATCACACTGTATGGTTCAATAGTATACAACATGTTCCAAATGCAAGACTTAGCTGAAGAGAGCAAATTGTGCAAGTTTCTTAGAAACTTAACAGAAATAGCTACAGAGAGTAAGAGCAACAAACCAAAAGTGTTAAAGAGCATATATATGACACGCAAGGCGAGAGAAATTGAAGAAAAGGAAGTGTCAGCTGAGAGACGATAACTTTATTTGAAGGGAGTGCCCCACGCGCTTACACACTCTCTTTCTGTCTTTTTCTTCCCAGTGTCATCTTCATTTCCTCCTTACATGAGCTTGCTTGAAGAGCAATATTCTTGATAGTTGACAGCAGGCGAGCAAACACAGTAGGGGAGAAAGCTGAGAAATCTATACTTGCAGTGGACATAGGATTTTCCTCTTCTTAAAGGGTGAGACATCTATAAGCCAATTTAATATTATTGTTTGAAGAGTTTAATAAGGGGTTTTAGAGGAGGGTTTAAAAGTTTGTTGTGCTGCTGGATGGTTGACTAAGCTGAAGGGGAACATCTGGTGCACACTTTATACCAAGGTAATCTTCATTTAAAGTACTTCAACAGAATGAAAGAATATAACTTTTTTTTAAATTATTGATGTGTTGAAACTTACTTGGCACAAGAAGTACGTTTAAACACATCAGTAATTCAACAAAAAAAGTAGTAAGGCTATGTAGAAATCACAGTTCCCATAAGCTGGTTGCATCGTGTCTACTAACTGTAACTCCATGTCTGTTTTGGTCTATTTTCAGTACTTTGTCAGTACTGCCTTTCTGTTCCCAGTTAAACTAACCCTTACCCTGTCTCTTTTAGGATCCCTTCCTCACCACAACGTTTTAACCTTAAGCCCTAACGTCCCAGCTGGAGTGTGATCTGGTGGGATGGCAGAGGGCGATGTGGATCCGTACCCTCAGGTGTTTGTGATTGACAGCCAAGCCAACTACGTCTCCATGCCTGGCGAGAAGAGGCCACGTTGGGTGAGATCAGGACAAAAGTTTCTTCTCCTGCTGGTAGGACTCGCCCTGTTGGGACTTGTTGTCGAGGGGTGTTTTATCTACAGTCTATACAAAAAAACCGAGGTGAGATTGATCTCTATTTTATGTCTGTGTGGGTGAAGGGAGACTCCAGAGTCTTGGAGCTTTTGGCTCTCGGAAAGTCCTATTGTTTAGAATTTCCCTCTTTTCCTTTACGTCATAACCAGACACACACTGTAGTGGATTAACACGTGTGCGTGAGCTGTCATTATTTCGCCTTTTCATTTACTGGTCTGCAATGACAAATCTGTCAGATGGACTTGTTTTCTAGTTCTACTTCCCTTTTTTCTCTCTTAAGTGCAAACCAACAATATTGCTTCACTTTTCTAAACAGTTTCATAATGACACTTATTACACACCTGCCTATATTATGTTGTGCACTTGTGCATGTTATGTAATATGCACTACAGTTTACAAATCTAACCTTTAAGACTGTACAATGTCAAAACTTAGATACCCAAGACCAAAAAATGGCAGGTGACATTTTGCCTCTTTATCATGTTGTATTAAAATGGTATTCAAATACTCCAGCATTAACAAAACACAAAACTGGTCAAGTTACATTTTTATACATGTATATATTACATTTAATTAAATGAAAAACGACCTCAATGTTTTATATACTTCAAGATTTTGTTATGTTTTTTTGTGTAAATATGCCTTTTGTTGTCTGTACATTTCTGTTAGTTTCTTTGTTGCAAGACACTTCCTGTTCTTACACGCTTTTGAACTTTTGACATCTGAAAAACACACACTGATTTTGTTACACATGCTATATTTCTCAGCCCCTCCTCTTCCCCTTTCTGCAGGACTTGTCCTACTGTAAGTCTCACCCGCTGTGCCAGAACCTGACCAATCCTCCAACATCTGGCGGGCAGGTAGGTGTGGGTGCTGAATCACAGGTTATACTGTCGCACCGCCGGATGTGTGTCGGAGTTTTCTGCTTTAACACCTTTTTCTGTTTCAGGGTGGCACCATATTGAGCCAAGTGGCTTCCAAAGGTAATGAGTTATTCTCTGTTCTGTGATGATGATGAGCCACAAATATGTGATGTGTGATTTACTCCAGCCCATGCAAACCTCACGTGTCAATTCAGATATAAGGTTCGACATTGTTTGATTGATCTGAACATGCGTTATCAAACAGATTCCAATGAGATTCCCACAGTACGACCACATCTGGAAGACATCCAACAGAGACCCTTTGCTCAGCTTATAGGTAGGAACCCTCTGAACACTCAAACCAGGTGACTGTATCTTTTTATTTCAGCTATTCTCCTTAATTGTCTTTGATCATAACAACTATTTTGTATTTCCTATCTCATCTTAACGCCAGGTTCAGACTCTTATATCGGAGAGAACAATGAGGTGCAGTGGGAAGATAAAAATGGCGAAACTGTAACCCACAACATGGGCTTTGAAAAAGGCCGGTTGATGGTCAAGGAGAATGGCTACTACTACATTTACTCTAAAGTGACATTAAATGTCGCAGAGGAGTGTACGCTTATCCAGCACAAGATCATAAGAGCCACCAGTGCCTACGGCGAGGATATTGAACTTTTGAGATCCAAAAGGTAAGTCAGTGTGCCTCTCTTCCCTCCCTCTGATGCTGCACATGTGCTTACAATTGCTTTCTTGGGTTCAATGTGTACCTTTGCTTCTGTGTATATGAAGAGGTTAATTTTCTAAGATTTTGGGCCATTTTGCTTCAGTAACATGTCTTCTTCCATAGTGGAAAGAAAACTTCGAAAATACAATTTATTATTTTTCTAAATATGTCAATTTGCGTCCGTAGGGTTGACTTAAATATACTAAAAGTTCGCATTAGATAATGCCAAATTAGCATATTAAACTAAAGGAAAAAATAAAAAATTCAGAAATATGTATTCATGCAATGTAAATAACTGGTTGAGTTTCATGATAGCATCTATTTCTTACATTACAATGACCCCACTCACTGGTAGTGTCTTCAAAGATTTATGGAAATACACAAAACATCTAAAAAACCTTTAAAGGCTATTATCTCTACATAACAAAAAAACCGGCCTGCATGCACCATCTTTTCAGTTGAATTCCTATCTATTTTATGAAGTTTTTATAGAGGGGTTTGTTGAAATATCATTTACAGACTGATTTAGAGAAAATATTCATCTCAAATAATGTCTTTTGGGCTGTTGATCATAATTTCTGTTTTATGCATTCTCCTTTGACTCTAAAATCTAAAATGAAACAAGAATTTAAACCTGGCTTCATCCAATGTTTAGAAATCTGTCCCAGAAAGTGTTCACATTAGCCCCTAGTTTAATTGGATAATGCCTAATATGCATACCTAAACATAACATTCCAGAAAACGTATTTATGAGATGTTGCTGTAATATAAGTAAATAAGTGCTGGTTGTATCGTGTTGCTTTATATTTGTCTTCTGCAGTTACCGCTGCTTCAATCCTACACGCTCCCCGATTACTCACAAGGAGGATATCCGGAACAGTTTTCTGGCTGGGATCTTCCACCTGGAGAGCGGGGATACCATTTTCGTCACATTGGAAAATAGCCCAAAGATGTTTCCGAGACATACTGAATATGTCATGGGGGCATTTATGATATATCCAGGTGGATTGCTGCAGGAATAATATCCTCTGTCCCACATTGTGAACAGATTCTATTTCTCTGTGTTATGAACGTACACCATATGTTGTGGTGAATGTTATGTATCTAATATATAGGCCTATATCATCTAAATTATACTATATGTAATTGAATCCCTTATGAAACAGCAACTAATGGTTTTGAGATCATAAAAAAGTATCTGACATTCAGGTAATATAATCCTACTTGTTGATTTGTTGCATTTTTTGTTTTTTGTTAATAAAATGCATTCATTCATTCAGGTTGTATCAGTTACTGATTAGGTTTTATGTTAGACATTATAGATAATGAGAAAAAACTTTTAATATTTATTTGTGCGGTAAAGTAAGAATAGATTTTATTTGATGCGACCTAATAGCTTGAGCAACCTGAGACAAATCACGCAGTTGCAGATTTATAGATGCAGAACACACACAGCGCCTGTATGAGTGAGGAGCAGGATGTGGTTGGGTAAGGATGCTCTGAGGAGAGGATGGAGGGGAAGGGTGGCTGAGGTGCAGAGGTTGGTGTGGCTGACTCAGCTCTTCTCACGCTGTGCAGGGGAAAGTTTTACAGACATTGCAGCAGCAGTGTCACATGGAAAAAAAGACATATGGACGTACAGAAAAGTTAAGTTAAGGAGTGTTCAGCAACCAATGAAGAAATTCCACCAAGAAACCAGGGTGTAAAGAATGTTCGGGATTATGGGAAACAGTATTTCGATCTATCTGTCTGTACACACAAATTGGAAGATTGACATTAAAGTTGACTTTGACTTTGACTATGCAAGATGCAAAGTGTTACAAACAGTAACAATGAATGATGACAGGAAACCATGCAGACAGGTAAAAAAATGTATGTGAGTGGAAAGACTGACCTCAGAAGCATCTGAGGTATATGGGTCACTTCCTGCTCAAAGATGCAGTTGAAGATATTGTGTATCTGAGTGAGGTCAGTACACAACAGTATAATACTTGTGCTGCGTGAGCATACAATCTATTTTTCATTGCTTGGAGTATAATTTCTCACGTGATGTACTTATGTAGAATTTCGAGGTGCTTGTAATTTACTTCATTGTTTCTGTCTTTGCCTTTCTTCATACCTCTACCCTAGTTCAGAAAAAACATTGTACATTTTGTTCTATTAGATTAATTTGACGGTTGTAGTTATTACTAACATTGAAGATTACAATTTTGCACATTGGATATATTAATCTTAGAGAATACAATGCATTATACAATAAACTACCATAGCGGACAGACAAATGGTTTGCATTACGGGAAAACGCCAACAAATACATATAAGAACAAGAAAAATGTGGCTTTGCAAATGTTTCATGCACCTTTAACCATAGAAAATACTTTTTTAAAGATGGAAGGTGAAATGTTCGTACAAAAAGCAACTATAATGCCCTTCGTTGGGTTGTTGCGTTTCTAGTGGGGTTAACTCTACCTGTAGATCAATTGATTGGCAAGAACTCTTGTTGAATTTGAATCAAGTCACTTCCAAACAAATCAGGCACCAACTAGCATAAAATCACAAATAAACCACAACTTTGGGCAGCAGTAGCTCAGTCTGTAGGGCACCGAAGGGATGCTGGTTCAAGTCTCGATTTGAACAAATACATAGCTGGAGAGGAGTCAGTTCACCACCTCCACCAAACCCCCAACTGTGTAGGCATGTGTTCATGTGTGTATTTTGAACTATGTGTGTAATATATATTAACAGAGAGAAGAACTGAATTTACCCTTGCAGATTTGTAAAGTATTTCTTTCTTTTAACTTGGCCTCCCATCTGGTCACCTCCACTCGCTGCTGAGACCGCATTATTATGGTCCTTCATAACATATACTAGCTCAGTTAAATACAGAATCAGCTACAAATACTACGCACCACAAAGACTTAAACTACCTGGCTCCTTCCTCCTCCACCCACCCGCTGGCTCAGGTCTGGAGGTGCAAACACCCTAAAGGCCACCAGGGCTAAGCTTCGGTCCTGGGGTAACAGGGCCTTCTCTGTTGCCAGTCAGTCCACCCCCCCTACCCTTCTGTAAACAAGCCCTCAAACCCCACTTATTCAAACTGGCCTTTTCCATTAAACCTCTTCTCCCAACAACATATCTCTGCAGTTCTGATCACTTTGCTCTATAGGTTCTTTGCATTTTCTCTAAACTAATCTTGTTTTTTCCCTAATGTATGTTTGTTGTATGGAATATTTTTTGTAAACTGACTTTCAGGATTAAGAGATATATAATTATTATCAACCTAATGGATGTACATTTAAAATTCTCTCTCTTTAGCGCTCATTTGGACTTTACCAGCTCCTGAAAATAAATGTTGGGTCTTAAGATGCTTAATGCTCTGCAATGCTCACCAGCTTGTTGCTATGTGCAAACTATAAAGCTTGAAAGCAGAGCTGCAGATTTGAATACAAATCATTTAGCGCAATGGTGTTGCCAAAGATTGACAGGGTTTGCACACATCGGCGATCAACACAGAGTTTTGTGGACGTTTCGGCATTTGATTTTGAAAATACAAAATTGATTACAACCACTTCAAGTAAAGGACATACATTCATCTTGAGCCACAGATGAGCAGCTTTGAACACAAGCATTTCATTTTCCTTAGTTTAGTCTGTGCTCCTCAGTCACTAATATGAGTGAGATGCCATAAAGAAATTAATGGAGGAGAAAAAGTACAAAATTCACAAGTAGTAGCTATTGAGAATTAATATTTAATTTTAGACGCAATAATTGGAGCATGCCCTTTGCTTCTTGTGTGAGTGTGACTTATATATCATAATAGAAGGGAATATTTGTTACATCTTGTGTCAATATCAGACAGGAGGTGTCATTTAGGTTTGTTGACTGCCATGTATAGAGGTTTTTTCAAACCACACTGTTTGGTAAATAAACAGGAAGTGATGTACATCCAGTTCCCGGCATAGGCTGCGTAACAGTAGGGAACTTTCCCTCACACAGGAACGTTTCATTTATTCCGCTTGAAATGATGACGCAATCACTTTCACACTACTTTTTTTTTCAGGGCAAAATATCCAAGTTTAATATGGATACATTGAAATAAATTCAACAATGTGCAAATTGTCCATAGGACTTACATGTCTTTCAAAAACAAAACATTTTCTTATTCATGAGTACACATATTAAAGATACTTTAGTAATGTGGTCATGATTTCATCACAGAGACACTTCTCATAGGACCTCCACTTAACCTCACTAGATCTAAATGAGATCCCTGAGGAGCTTGTTGGGGTTTCCGAGCAGAATTATCATCTTGTATTTTATTATAACACTCAACTTTATGCACTGAGTAATTTATATATGAAAAAAACAGAGCAAAACAGAAGTAATATAAACCAATATAGGCTTATTAAACTAGCAGTGTATTGTACATCGACACTAATGTAGTGATATCTACTTCATAATACATTTCTATTAAAACAAAAAGTATAAATATAGATACATAAATAGTTTCATCATCAAATAAATATATCATATACATATCTATACAAAATTAGGCAATTGTGTTTCCCAGATGCAGTTTGCATAAAAAAATGCAACTTCTCCTTAAAATCCTGCTTAGCTTCATGGCCTTAGTTTGCAAGAAATCTGGATAAAGCTTTGAAATGAGCACCGGAGTAGACCCATCTTCATTTAGTTGGACACTTAGAAAACACAGTTATGACCCAAAGGTCACACACGTGCAGGCAGATCGGCGTCTACATTAGTCCACGAGGAACATCCCAAGTCCTGAGGTGTTCAGCTCCAGCCTCCAGTTCTGCAGTCCCTCCTTTGATACGGTCATCTGAGTGAACAGTTTCTGCCCGTCCAATCGGCTCACTGTCCAGCACTTCCTGCTTACAGGCGTTGTATCCGCCAGAGCCGGAAGCTCCACCTCGCAGGTGAGTTTATCGCCCAACCTCACACTGAGGAGTCCCGCGCTACATTCGTAGGTGCAGGTGAGGTTGAGATTGATGTATATGAAGTAGTACCCCACCTGTTTGGCCTTCAACGAATGCGTACCTTCCTCAAACTGGAAGTTGCTTCCCACGGACAGCCCAGCACCATATTTGATTTGAGACAATTCCATGGTGGAGTTCTGCAGCTTGCCTATAGGAGGAGACAAATACAACTCATTTAGATGATGTTTACAAAGGGCAACAACAGGCTTCATAACACTGTAGCATTATTTTCTGGTGTTTTTTTTAGTAAAGACTGACATGATTTGGAAAAGCTAAGAAATCATCTGTGAAATCTTTATAGTGTGATTTAGTGATGCAAATAAACGATATTTAAAGTTTGGATATTACACTGTCATGAAGAGGAGAACATGTATTTAGAATATGGCTTTCATTTAATAATTAATCATCATTAGCATAATTCCTACTCAGAATTTTTTTTGTATGGTTGTGTGAATCTGTTCCTTATATGTACGAGAGATTAAATACATTTGACTTACTTGAGACGGCTTCCAGATAGGCAAAGTTCTGCATCTGTTGACAAAATAAAATAAATATTGATTAAAATGTGCATAGGACATATAAGTCAAACTCCAAAAAAGAAGGAAACAATAGGTAACTTTTACATTTCATGAGCAGAAGTCTTTTGTTTACCTTGTATACTGACAGTGTGTCTCCTGTCAGCCTTGATGTCCCGGGATCAGATGAAAGACGCGGGGTCTCCAGCTCGGACCGCAGCTCCATCACCACCATCACTCCGCCGGCGGCCAGAGCTGCCACCGCCACAAGCAGAAAAATGGTGGACACAACGAGGAAAACGTCCAGGCAGCTTCCACGGCGGCGGCCGCTCTTCTGAAGAGACTCAACGTCCATTGCTTTATCTTGGTGTCTCTTTAGTCTGTTGTAGGATGCTTGAGCTTCAGGGTCCACAGCGTCTGGTTAACTTAGAGAATAAAAGGGTCCAGGGGCTCGATGGTTTACTGCCAAAAAGATATTCCTCTTGATATCCAGAGTTCACTCGGCGTCTTGATGTGATAGCTGTGAGCATGCTTTTTATACTGGACTCTTAAACTCATGTGCAGTTTCATACACAGAGGAAAAACGCGGAAGTCATGGGTTTCCCTCTCGGCTCATCACACACACGCCCCCTCCTGAGCAGCGTGTAGTTGAAGTGAGAAAACGAGACTTTTCCGCGGCTCTCCCTGATTGAGCAAGAGCTGCCCAGAGGTAGCGCGCGCGATGGAAAACGAAAGGGAAGGAAACCTGCTCATCCTCCAGTCTCACTACACAGACTCTACATTCCGACACAGTCAAACACAGGCTTTCACTCTCAACGTTCAACCTCACAGCGCTGGCGAAAGTGGCACAATGGAGATAATGCAAACATAATGGGAATTTGGCCTTGAAAGCCTAAATGGAAAAGTATTTGGGGCAAAGGGAATGGTGTGTGTGTGTGAAATGCAATGAGATAGGTTCGGGTTTTCCTCGAGTGTGTATTTCATCAGCGAAAGGAAACTCAAACTGGTATTACTGCAGGTGTGTTTACCTTGCGTAATGTTGGGCCGTACTGTGTGTGTGTGTGTGTGTGTGTGTGTGAGTTTCATCACCAAGAAAAGCTCACAGTCACACCTCCATGTTTGTATACCTGGCGTAATTTAGGCAAAACCACAGTGTGTGTGTGTGTGTGTGTGTTTGTACGTGTGTGTGTGTGTGTGTGTGTGTCTGTGTGTCTGTGTGCGTGTGTGTGTGTCCGGAAACATTATAGGAGTTACAAGGATGACTAAACCACTCTACATTTTATGAAAGTGTTGATCAACAACTGTATGTTCAAATACCTACTGTGGAAAATAGCATAAGGCCTTGAGGCAATCAAATGTAAAACACAATATTTATGATCGATGAAACACAACAGGAGGGTGAATAAATAGTACCATGGAAGGATAAGCCTCAACAGTTTTTATTGGAACTGTCTTCTGAAGAAAGACTTACTTTGAAAACAGTTGAGAGTTAACAAGTTAATTTGCTCGTCATTTGAGTTTTAAGCGATTCTGTATCTCTTCATTATGTCTAGGTACAGTTAGACACAGCTCCGTGACTCTTGCTAATAAATTCATAAATAAGCATGTGCTTCTGTTAATTATAAACGGAAAAAATACACCTGAAACAGCTGAAGCTGACAAAAGGTATGAGAAGTAGAGCTTATCTCTGATATGTTTGGGTATACTGTAAGTGTATACTTTTATTCTACTTTTACATTTTGAACTACTTATACTTATATTTCCATCACACATTTATATATGTACAGTAAAAAATAATCCTATTTTTATATATTTATTATTAGTAGTAGTAGGTTCTATTGTATATGTTGTTGTTTATTTGTGTTTTTTCTTCACTTAAAGGTGGGGTATGTAATTTATTTCAGAAACACTTTTTGTTATATTCAATGGAATGCTCTATTAACATCCCGATAGCAATGAATATATTAAATGTTTTGACAATAAATACATAAAAAATGTCATTTGTGGAAGCCATGGCGCTGTAAAAAGCACGACCAATCAATTTAGCCGGCCCGGCTAAAATAACTGGATGGCCTACCTGCCTGTCAGCCTTCCATCTCTGTTCCATCNTGGCGCTGTAAAAAGCACGACCAATCAATTTAGCCGGCCCGGCTAAAATAACTGGATGGCCTACCTGCCTGTCAGCCTTCCATCTGTGCACAAACTTATCTCGTGCCCTCATTGGTCATGTGCGCGTTCATGTGCGTTGGAGGAGGGGCTCTGTAAGGAAGTGGCAGATTTTTTCCGGCTGTGTATTTTCAAATTCTAGCGCACTAGAGCCGGTT